ATAAAAATGAGAATAAGAATGAGAGAGTAAAAAACCCGAACGCACACGAAGTGCATGGACCTGCTGCTGTGAGAACGGTGGACCTTCCGCGGTCCGTTTTTTTGTGTCCAAATGCGTCGTATGAAATGACCAGTCTATATGTTGTATGGTTAGTGGTATAAGTAACATTGCACTTGCTCCTGCTGAGCGAATTGGTAGCCTCACTCCGGGGCACATAAAAGGGACTGTATATGTACTCAATGCAAAGGGGTCATACAAAACCTTTCGGCTGATTTAAGACACTGGAGTCGAACTATCTTATCTATAGGAACAGTGCATGAAAAAATTAGGCATTTTGGGCTCGCCATCCCATATACTCGTTTTCGGAATATCATCGGTGAAGGCTGAAACGAACTGTGGACTGCACTTTATGGACAAAAGAAATTTGACAATCGTGGTAACACTATAGCTGTATCGACAACTTTTTGATAGGTAATTTCAACAACAACGCTTTCCAGCCCAGCAACAGCAACATCGCTATTGTCGACATTCGACATTGATGCCTCCCTTCAAAGAGTGTTTGCGCAAGCATTCTACCGGATCCAGAGAACACTGGGGTCTCACTCACGAGATGGACAATGAAGATACTGTGTAAAGCTACCACAGACTTTGCTGACACACTTCAGGGAGCAATAGCACGGTTTGACTCTGTAGAAAGACGCCTGCAAAATTAAAGCACGATAACGAAACTCTGGCACACTTGCGAAAACTCGAGTCACAGGAAATAAATATCAGGTGGACGCACGTTTTATGTGCCACATCAACCGGTCTCTGGTATTAGATTACGAGTGGTGATCGATGGATCATGATGAAACGACTGACATGAAACGAATTCTGACATATTGATGTACAATGTGAATCTGAATAAATCAGCAGACTGTACAAAACGGAAAGTTTGGTTTGATGTTTTTCGGATTTCCGATACACTCGGCTTACTAGCACTAGACGTTGTTCAAATCAAGATATTATTTCCAAAATGATGGCTCCTTGGTCTGATTTGTGACCGCTAGGTGCACGAAATCTCATTCGAAAGGTGACCCACAGCTGTTTGAAATGTTTTAAGCAACTTCAACAAGCTGATAATCATCATTAATAGCGGATCCACCGGCAACCAGAATTCGTCAGGCATACCCGTTTCAGAGCACGCGAAGCGACAATCCTTAAGGTTGACAAGGGCCGCAACCGACGCAAGGATAGAGGCTATATTTGTCATTTTATTTGCATGGCAACCTCACCGCTTCATTTGAATTCATTCATTCATTCATGGACACATGAATACATTCTTGGCAGCCCTACGACGTTTTATTTCCCGGTGCGGAAAATGTACGCAAATGTTTAGCGAAAACGGTTGAGAAATTTGTGAGCGCTAAGCGTCAACTCAATGAGATGCAACATCTACTTCGATCACACCTGCACAATAATAAAATAGACACCCACTTGCAACAGAAGGTATATAGTGGAATTTTATACCGCCACATGCTCCTCATTACAGAAGCATACCTTGTTAGCACAGGTGGAAGCCGTAGTCAACTCTAGACCACTTTACTCAACGTCAGACACCGATATGGGATATCTATCTCCTGCGCAACTGCTACTGGTTGGCCGTACACCTTGGTACCGGAAGGTGACCTTGGATTAGTGCCAACCAATCGATTAGATTACTGGCAGCACTCTCAATCCCTTCTTCCAGGCGTCTGGAAGCGTTAGCACCTTACAGCAGCGCCCAAAATGGAATACCATATTCCCTAATTTGGAGTGCATAGACATGGTTTTAATTAAGGACTCAAACGCACCACCAGCCGCATGGATGGCTGATGGCTTGGTGCGCTCAGTGAAATTAAAAACATAATCAGGGAAGATAACTCGTCCGATCACCAGAATCGCTTCGCTACCGAATTCTGATAGAGAGTTTCAGGGCCGGGCGGTATGTTTAGGAACAGCTGCACAATTTTGAATTAAACCGGTTGTATTTTTTATGTATACTCTATAAGCGTTGCCACTCTGTTCATAATCATAATGTAGTTCGAATCTAGATCGAATCTATCGGCAGGAAGAAAGAGTCGTACCAGCGTCTGTGAGAAATAAAAATTAATTTAATAATTAAAGGCAATTCAGTTTGTTTCTGATTGCAGGGAAATCGCAGATACTAAAAATGAAGCTTTGTGATGACACTCCAAAATTCCAGTGTTGCCAGATCAAATACCGGCCTGTAATCGAAACCGCACGACATTACATTGTTTGCCTCATTCGTTGACGGATTAATTAAAGCTCAAAGACAGAGACAAACAACTAAATGGATAATGCTTGAGGTTTTTTGGAAATAATTTTAGGATCACACAGCCTTTTTAGCGTTAAATTCAAACTATGTTGTTTTGTTTATTATGTTGTGTTTATCCCGCTAATTTTAACGTTTAAAAAAATTAAAATAAATACGATAAATAAATGCGATTAAAAATCATTCGCCCCAAAGGTTTTAAGAAAAAATAACGGAAAATACTGATATTTTACGATATTTTGTTTGTGCCACCCCTACAAGGATGTCCTGTTGGGCATTCAAGATATCCGTAAACTCGCTCATATTCATTATTTTTAATTCATTTAGTTTTGATTTGCGAAAATTCAAAAGTAAACAAACCCAGATGGGCGGTACGTGTCACTCTCATGTCGGAGTAGCATTAGCTTAAAGCTAATGCACCAATGGAATCAGACCACTAATGCGGCAATCGAATCAGGCTATTAAATACAATTTTGCTTATTGATATATCGGCCCTGTGGTATTTTATCGAATGGTATTTTTTACCAAATTCTGTCTAGTATATTTACAATTTTGTTTTAGAAGAAAATAGTATATAGTCGTCCGATTTTGATGAAATTTAAACCGTAATTCTGAAATACTTAACGATTACAATATCTCGAAGAATTAAAAAAAATGTAATCATTCAAGTTATAATTTTATTCGTTTATTCCTCCGACATATGTCCGGCTCGTTCCGACTTATGTACTACCTACAACTGGAAGACAACTTTTGGGAAAGTTTAATGTAGATAGCTTTAAAACTGAGAGACTAGTTTGCGTAGAAACGGACAGACGGAGGGACAAAGGGACAATGCTAGATTGACACGCCTAGTGATGCTGATCACGAATTTATATACTTTATAGGGTCGGATATGTTTCCTTCACTGCGGTGCAATACATAAAAAACATTGAATTAAAACATTAAAATAGTCAACAAATTGAAAATGTAAACAAATTATATACAAAACATTTTTTAAATAAGACACTTATACCGTAAAACCACATCTATTTTTCACCATACAGTTTTTATTAACCTATCGTATTTATTTTGAGCTATTAGGATTTTTTAAATATTTCTTCGTACTCAGAAATGATAACCATCTAGCTGTTGTCAAAAGTGAACTGCTTCGTAAATTAATAAACTGGTTCAAAGATCTATTCGCTTGTACAACAGCTTGCTTACATTTGTTTTCTTATGATGAACTAACACATGGTAAACTAACTCACTAATACGGGTATGACATTACATTTTTCGCCTCATTCATTGAAGCTTAACTATATTGATACTGCTTGAGTTATTTGGTTATAAAATCACACTGACCTTTTAACGTTAGATTATAACTTTATGGTTTTGTTTATTATATTGTGTTTATCCCGCTATTTCGTTAATTCGTATACATTTCGGACTCGCTTTTTCACTTCGTTTTGATTTTTTTGGTTATAAAATCACGGTCACACTGCCCTTTAAACGTTAAATTGAAAACTTCAAAAGTTTTCAGTTGTTACCTTTTAATGATAAAAAATATTTCGTATACATTTTAGCCTCGCTTTTTCATTTCGTTTTGTCGTCAACTCCAATAAATGAGCAAAATTGTACTTTTTTAATACAATATGATGCATCGGCCCCGGTGGTATTTCATCGAATGGTATTTTTATACCAAAATCCGGTTCATATTTTTTACTATCGGGTACCGGGTTCTGTCAAATTTCTTCATTCATTGTTCATTGAAATCGTCATACGTTTGTCTTGTTCGCAGAAGCAAACTTCGGAAAGACGAAGTTCATATAACTGGCAGCTATTGCAAAAATTAAATATCTTGAAAACATTAAAATTATGACTTACTTGCGTATACGTTTAAAAACATTGAAGCTATGATTATTTGCAGCTCAATTATTCAATAGTTCGTATGGCAGCATATGATATCTTTTTCCGAATTTAATAAAATTAAAAACGTAATTTTGAACCGTCAAAGTATTAATAAGTCAGAAATAACTTTAAAAAAAATTACATAATAGAAAAGTTACATTTAAAAAAACTTTTTTTTATATTTGTATTGTTCCCATGGAACCTTTTATGTTATAGTCGTCCGATTTTGATAACTTTTAAACGTAATTCTAAAATATTTATTCATGTCGAAGAACTAAAAAAAAACTTGGAAACCAGCAATTTTATAATTTTTTTTATTTATTTTCCTGATTGTTCCTATGGGAGCTATATGTTATAGTATATATAATTTATACACAAATCGGTCTAAGTAATTTAAGATATAGAAGTAGATTGTATTTCTTTCGTCAATTTTCTTAATTTGTTGCTCGTTGCAATCGTCATACGTTTGTCTTGCTCGCACCTTCTTAAAATTGTATAGTTAAAAAAAAAAATAGCAATGAATTAGTTCAACAATGTAGAGTCATAAGCCCATTATACACCTAAAATAATTCTATAGCTCCCAAATGCTTTAGCATAATCGGGAATCATTCATTACTACAAAATTGCTAGTAATTTGTTATCACGTTAAAAAAAAAATTGCAAGAAGTTGGTATAGTGTATATATGTGTACTTTATTATAAAATTAATTGATGTACATATTATGGGAACTTAAAAGTGTAGTTAAAAAGGAATCAATTTTAAGAAAAAAAGCAAGGGCATAATACTTTTATTTAATTACCTGAAAGCAATCCACAATCGGAACAGAGGGAATTGTATATATCCTGGACAATGTCTCCTGACAAACACCGGTTAAGTTGTGTTTTCTAGCTATTTTTCCAAAAGAAATAATAGCTTGTGCGGATGCGTGTACCCCTAACATTGTACTTCCTTGATCTGATTGTTGCTCAAGGTGCTGTGTTATTATTTGGTAGTGATGTTGTCGCCAAGTAAATATATCACTCCAATGGGATAAGTCGTCAGAAATAATTGGTAACCGATTACGCCAAGTTTTTACAATAGCTTTCATGTCGTGCAATGAATTATTACGTGATTGGGCCAGTCCTTGATGGATTTGACTTGCCTCGTGAAGTTCCATTATTTGCTGCGAAGCTTGAAGATATGGCAAGTGGATGTGAGAAACAACGCTAGGCAATCGTCGCCACTCACGAATACATAAGCTTGATGCAATTTCTACATATCTTTCTATACTGCCCGTTTGCCTTTCATCTTGGTGAAGAATACTTAGATAGCCTTTGTAAAGGTTTATTTTAAAACCATGTTGTTTTAAATAACATTGTTCTGTTTTAGCTAATGCTGTTTTCATTAAATTCCAATCAGGAACGCGCCAAGAACTTTCAAGAATTAAAAACATATTTTTATCTTTATTTGTTTGGGCATAATCCAAAAGAATGTCCCATTGATTTAATTCCTTGGCACAACGGATCCAGTGTTTTTCCCACAACAGTAATTCGCTATTAATATATGTATTAACGACACCGTTATTTAAATCTTGTTTAAACTTAGTCATTGCTAGATCATATGCTCCTTGGGCCTCTTCGAAAAATCCCATTTGCTCGTATGAAACAGCAATATTTGTTTCCGGGTAGTGTGCAAACTTAAGCCAAAGACCAGCCCACAGGTCTTCCTCATGCATTGAAGAATACATTTTTGAAAGTGAATCAAATATGTTTTTAGATTGCTGTATATCTAATTCTGACAATGTATTATCCACGTCATCAGCATTATTCTTATTTTGGATTGGTTGATTTACTGCCATGTCTTCTAAAACAAGGATTGCTCTGTGCCATAAGTTATGGGATTTTCCAAGATAAACTAATAAATTAGGCGGAATATATATGGATGGTGTGCATTTAGTCAAACTTTCTACAAAAGTATTTAGTGTGCTTGGAAAGCAGTCCTTTTGATTAACATTGGTTCCAGACGATAAAAACGGTATTAATTCTTTTGTGATGTTATACCTTTGATCTTCACTAAATATACTCCAAATACGGGGAAAAATTGACAACCATACGCTTTGAGCAAGTTGAGTGTCAATATGGCATAGCTGTGAAGTCGCAACCAGCATCTGATCGGTTCTTATGTTTCGATTTGCTTCTAAAAACTCCGCTTGCTTATAAACAAGTTCCACTAACGTAACACGTCGAGTTGGTAAAATTTGTTGGCAGTCTTCTTTGCGATCAGCAGTAAATTCGAGCGTTATATCGATATCAAACACGTCATCTTTATCATCAACACTTTGAACAACATCAAAAGATTCCGACTGAGATGATACAAAAGAAACAAACGAGTTTTCCTGTGATTCGGCTGAGTTGGCTGGAATAACTGAAGTAATGCTAGGTATTTTAAATTCTTCATTTGAACATTGTATTTGCACCATTGTGTTAGCTGTTAAAATAAGCAGTTCAATGCATTGTTTTATCCAATAATGGGATCCAATTGTGTCCCATGCTTGAGAACAAATTATATACAACAACCTATCATGAAGTCTACGACGCATTGATGAGTCTAATATTTCAAAAAATTTGGCCCTTATGTGCGGATTTTGAAAACGTAAACCATTTAGACATGCTCCCTCCAGTTTGCTTGTTAACTCTGTTTGTTTAAGGATTTCATCTCTATATATATAATTTATAATTTCCAAGAATTGTACATTTAGTTCAATGTCATCATTGAACTTCTTTTCAACGTTTTGCATTAACTTTACCAGCAAAGCAGATTTTTCACGAATAGACGGAATTTGTGTCATAACATTTGGTTCTTTTGATTTTACCCAATCATCAAGCATTTTAATTATACATTTAATAATTTTTACTTCCGAGCTTTTTTCAATTAGACTAACCAAGATAGTGCCAATAAAAAGTTTTCTGATTTCCACACTCATTATAAAAATCCTATTTTTGATTAGTTCTAACGAAAGCACCAAGAGCTCTAAGGGTAAAGAATTTGAATCAGGGGGTTGACTGATAACATTATTACCACTTATGGTGTTAATATGGTCCTTTGTAAGACGATTTAAAACTCTTATAAATTGGACTAAAATTCGATCTATATAACTGTGGTTATTCGTGGTGCAGGCTTTTAAAATCATTAAGGTACCAAAGAGCGACGAAGCATTTGGTTGAGGACTCTTTTCGTAAAATGTAAGGTTCTCAGCGATCATTTTACTAACAGCGCTGTATAATAATTCGAGATCATCATGTTTATGTTGCGTATCAGGCGGAAAAACTCCCATAAGTCGTGTTAAAAAAATATGCATTAGCCGCACAATACGAGTATTTTGGTGAATTATACATAAAGACAAGCCTCGTTGCACTGGTCGAATAATTGACACCAACTGCTCCGGGTTCAATATAGTAGTTAAAAATGTTAGAAAATCGATTCCAGTACAAATGTTGTTCAAGTTGTGATGAGGAGTTTCCACTGTTGCAAGAACTTTGTCAAGCCAATTAAGCTTAATATCAAAAGGTTGAGGCCAAATCTCGGGACGCATTGCCATTTTTAGGAGCATAACACATCTAAAAAAAATAATATATATTATAAGTATTTGAAACTATATACTTTTTACGAAAATGTATTTTGGCGTACTAACAAAAATTGTTGAAATAGGGAAGTGATTATCAGATCTTAATTTATGGATTCGTTATTATGTTTTGATCATCAAAAAAATGTTGAAGTAAAAGGGTTGATATCAAATACTCTGTGCTGTGAACTTTTCACAAGTAGTGTTGAGAACCAGAGTTGCCAAAGGCGATGAAAAAGGTCCCAACGTTTTGCACAAATAAGCGGTAATAGGAACAAAAACACTTTTAAATTTTACTTTGATTAAATGCCTATCTTACCATATTTAAACGAACATAAAATAGCGTGCTAAAAATAAGTCCCAAACAAGAAAGAAAGCAAACTTCGGCAAGCCGAAGTTCATATACCCTTGCAGCTATCGCAAGAATTAAATATTTTTGAAAACATTAAAATTATGATTTACTTGCGTATATGTTTAAAAACATTGAAGCTATGAAGATGAGCAGCTTAATTATTTGATTGTTCTTTTATATATTTTCATTATTTGTATAGGAGCTATATGATATAGTCGTCCGATTTTGATGAAATTTAAACCATAATTCTGAAATATTTAACCATTGCTATATGTCGAAGAACTAAAAAACAAATTAAAAAACAGCAAAGTTATAATTTTTTTCAATTATTTTTCCGATTGTTCCTATGGGAGCTATATGCTATAGTCGTCCGATTTTGATGAAATTTTAATCATAATTCTGAAATATTTAACCATTGCTATATGTCGAAGAACTAAACAAAAAATTAAAAAGCAGCAAAGTTATAATTTTTTTTCAATTATTTTTCCGATTGTTCCTATGGGAGCTATATGCTATAGTCGTCCGATTTTGATGAAATTTTAACCATAACTCTGAAATATTTAACCATTGCTTTATGTCGAAGAACAAAACAAAAAATTAAAAAACAGCAAAGTTATAATTTTTTTTCAATTATTTTTCCGATTGTTCCTATGGGAGCTATATGCTATAGTCGACCTATTTTAATGAAATTTAAACCGTAAATCGGAAATATTTAACCATTATTATATGTCGAAGAACTAAACAAAAAATTAAAAAACAGCAAAGTTATAATTTTTTTCATTTATTTTTCCGATTGTTCCTATGGGAGCTATATGCTATAGTCGTCCGATCCGGCTCGTTCCGACTTATATACTACCTGCAATAGAAAGACAACTTTTGGAAAAGTTTCATGCAGATAGCTTTAAAACTGAGAGACTAGTTTGCATATAAACGGACGGACAGACGGACAGACGGACAGACGGACAGACGGACGGACAGACGGACAGACGGACAGACGGACGGACAGACGGACATGGCTAGATCGACTCTACTAGTGATGCTGATCAAGAATATATATACTTTATAGGGTCGGAAACGTCTCCTTCACTGCGTTGCAAACTTCTGACTGAAATTATAATACCCTCTGCAAGGGTATAAAAAATACTTGTTATTTGTTATACATGACAAATCTTGCAGCCCCCTTCAATTCGTTCGGAAACTAATACAGGGGCAACGGAATTGCTCAAATGCCGAAGTCTAGAATCGAATCGATTCTGAGGCGCAATCACAAAATAATTTACAGTAGGTCAAATATGTTTTTATACCCTTGCAGAGGGTATTATAATTTCAGTCAGAAGTTTGCAACGCAGTGAAGGAGACGTTTCCGACCCTATAAAGTATATTTATTCTTGATCAGCATCACTAGTAGAGTCGATCTAGCCATGTCCGTCCGTCTGTCCGTCCGTCTGTCCGTCCGCTTATATGCAAACTAGTCTCTCAGTTTTAAAGCTATCTGCATGAAAGTTTCCCAAAAGTTGTCTTTCTATCGCAGGTAGTATATAAGTCGGAACGAGCCGGATCGGACGACTATAGCATATAGCTCCCATAGGAACAATCGGAAAAATAAATGAAAAAAATTATAACTTTGCTGTTTTTTAATTTTTTGTTTAGTTCTTCGACGTTTAGTAATGGTTAAATATTTCCGATTTACGGTTTAAATTTCATCAAAATCGGACGACTATAGCATATAGCTCCCATAGGAACAATCTGAAAAATAAATGAAAAAAAATTATAACTTTTCTGTTTTTTAAGTTTTTGTTTAGTTCTTCGACATATAGCAATGTTTAATTATTTCAGAATTATGGTTCGAATTTTATCAAAAACGGACGTCTATATCATATAGCTCCCATAGAAATAATAAAAAAAATATATAAAATAACTATCTAATAATTGAGCTGCAAATCATCATAGCTTCAATGTTTTTAAACATATACGCAAGTAAATCATAATTAAAATATTTTCAAAAGTATTTAATTCTTGCAATAGCTGCAAGGGTATATGAACTTCGGCTTGCCGAGGTTTGCTTTCTTTCTTGTTATAAACCAAATTTGTAAAGCAATGTTCTTAAACCATTAAAGAATAAAGAAAACAAGAAAGGAAGCAAACTTCGTCAAGCCGAAGTTTAAATACCCTTGCAGCTATTAAATATTCTTGAGGACATTAAAATAATGATTTGATTTAAAAAGCATTGAAACTATGACGATTTGCTCAATTATTTGAGTTCCTATGACAGCTATATGATATCGTTTTCCTATTCTAATGAAATTAAAAGCGTAATTCTGAACTGCCAAATAATTAAATAATAAAAAAAAATTAAAAAAAAAAAATTACAAAATAAAAAGTTACATTTAAAAACAATTTTTTTTTTTATATTTTTGTTGTTTCTATGGGAGCTTTATGTTACAGTCGTCCGATTTTGATTAAATTTAAACCGTAATTCTAAAATATTTAACCATTACTACATGACGAAGAACTAAACAAAAAATTAAAAACAGCAAAGTTATAATTTTTCATTTATTTTTCCGATTGTTTCTATGGAAGCTATATGCCATAGTCTTCCGATTTTGATTAAATTAAAACCGTAATTCTGAAATATTTAACTATTACTATATGTCGAAGAACTAAAAAAAAATGTTTAAGCAGCGAAACTAAAATTTTTTTATTTTGTTTTCCGATTGTTCCTATGGGAGCTATGAATATGCTATAGTCGTCTCCGTTCCGACTTATATACTACCTGCAATAGAAAGACAACTTGTGGAAAAGATAGCTTTAAAATTGAGATTAGTTTGCGTAGAAACGGACTGACAGTCGGACTGACAGACGGACAGACGGACGGACAGACGGACATGGCTAGATCGACTCTCCTAGTGATGCTGATCAAGAATATAACATATATACTTTATAGGGTTGGAAACGTCTAACTTCGTTGCAAACTTCTGACTTCTATCTGAAATTATAATACCCTCTGCAAGGGTATAAATATCATCTGCACTTTAACTTATCGCAAAGTATTTTAAATCAATTAATTTCTGTGCTTGCGGAATTAGTTAATTTCTTTGCACTATTTTCTGCTGTAATTATATTTTCAGAACTTTTTTGTGTTGTCTTGTCTCAAGGCAAATTTTCCTATGTTAAAGGGAAATTCGAAAACGTTATCAAACTCACTTCCGAGTGAAACCCGGAAGAGTCCTGATACCTTTTTTTCATAAAAAATATAGTTTCTCATGTACTATTTTATGCAAAAAACTGTAAGACATATATGGTTTTTCAAATAAACTATGCCCCCAAAAATAAAAAAAAATTATCTCTATATTATTTGTACTTAAATAGAAAAATATTATTTTACAAAAAAACGTTTTCTTTATTATTTTTATGCTATGCGGTAGAGGGTGATTGTAATGCAGTAGGAGACTTTTCCGACATTATAAAAGGGATATATTCTTGATCAGAATATTCAAGTTAATATAACATTGTCCAGATCAAGTTTGAAAACGGCGTAAATCGGATCCTATAGCTACCATGGGACAGTCAGGTCAAGATGTTAAACTTCGTCCTTTTCAAAGAATTATTATTATACCCGTTTGCCGTAGACAGGTAAAAGAAATCGTTTCCGATCCTATAAAGTATATCAATTCTTTACTAGAATCAATAGCCGAGTCGAACTAGTCATGTCCGTATGCCTGTCCGTCTGTCTCTCTGTCCGCCTATCCGTCTGTATGAACGACGAGATTTTGGAAACTATTAAAGCCTTTTAGGATTTGACATCCAGATTCTAGTTAGTCTCACGCAGCGCAAGTTAAATTCAAAACGCCCACTCTAACGCTGACAAAGCGCAAAAGTCTATCATGTCACTCTGACACATGTCAGACCATAGTTATTGGATTTTTTGGGTGTTTCGATCATAGTTCTACCGATAAGTAGACACGAAAATAAAAATCGGCTTAGAACGCGAAATAATATAATAATAAAAATATTTGAAAAATTCCACCCCTTTTTTATATCCATTTTAAATTGAAACTTTTTCGTGGGTGGTACCCAAATAAACAATTTACAAAAACTTTTATATATCCACCCGTTTTTATACCGTTGCAGAGGATTTTATAATTTCAGTCAGAAGTTTGCATCGCAGTGAAGGAGACATTTCCGATCCTTTGATCAGCATCATTAGGAGAGTCGATCTAGCCATGTCCGTCTGTATGCCCGTCTGTCCGTCCGTTTCTACGCAAACTAGGCTCTCATTTTTAAAGCTATCTGCATGAAACTTTCCCAAAAGTTGTCTTTCTATTGCAGGTAGTATATAAGTCGGAACGAGCCGGATCGGACGACTATAGCATATAGCTCCCAAAGGAACAATCGGAAAAATAAATGAAAAAAAAAATATTATTTATAATTCGACATATAGTAATCCTTAAATATTTCAGAATTACGGTTTAAATTTCATCAAAATCGGACTACTATAAGATAAAGCTCCCATGGAAACAATACAAATATTTAAAAAATAGATTTTAAAAAATTTAAATTTTTTATTTTGTAATTTATTTTATAAATTCTTTTTGATTACTTAATTATTTATTAAATTCGGAAAACGATATCATATAGCTGCC